CTTGCGCCTAGCGCAGCTACTCTGGGATCGATTAAACCCCGTAAAGTTCTTCGTATCGAGCCACGGCAATCGAAATTCATGCACTGGTCTGGCAAACGGGGTCACATTTCGATGGCCATGGTGGCTATCATGATAAGGTATCAGGCGATAGGTCTATCATTTGCTAGGTTCCGTATGCCTGAACAACTTATAGGTATCCATCGTGAGGCTATTTTGATTGGTATCTTCATACCTATTATGATAAATATAAAATACCTATCATGATAGGTATAAAATGCTTCTGCATACGGCCGACTTATCATTTGATACCCCCCAAAATAGCTATTTTATCAGTTTTATGTGCTCTTGCATACCAGCCATTGGATCCATGCAAAACTAATCGCAAGTGAACAATTTTCCTCCGAAGTGCGGCGGTGCAGTCTCGCAAGAAAATTGTTTGTAAATGTTTGTTGAATGTTTAAATGTTTAAATTTCTTGGTAAGACCGGGCAATGAAAAACGGACCTTGAGAACCTCTAAATTAAAGAAAGGTCCTTCCCTAACCCTCGCCATCTTTAAGTTTCATTTGAGATCAGATTAGCTCAAGATTCGCCTCGGTTCAACTGAGATTTGACATTTAGACATATTTTTGGACAACTTTATGTCTCACGCTATTCCGTCGAGACGCCTCAAAGGCCAGGGACGAAAGCGCGCGTACTTCGACCTTGTGGGAAATTTGCATCTGAATGCAATGGACGCTTCCCCTCATGAGAGAATTTTTTACCTCCGAGCTCTCTTAAGAGACATTTCAAAGAAAAAACCCGCACCGTCTAAACGCTCATCGCGAGTCGGAACGAGAATACCCAGCACACCCATCAGATTCTGCAAAAGAAGCACATTAAATCTTGCACGAATGGCAAGGCACGACAGGATGTTCGCAGCGGGAGGAACTAAGGCCGACTGGTCATCCCCATCGCGGTGAGAAGAAGCCCCCCCCCCCCCCCCCTTTCTCCTCGCCTCCCCGCTTTCAGGGAAGGGAAGGGAGGGACTCACAGATCGCGAAGAAGTCGGAATCAGGAGCAGCTTCCTTCAAAGACCTCATGTCTCCCATGAGAATTCTTCGACGTTTCCCGGTCGACTCCAATGAAAACTCCGCACACGTGTCGACCCTGAACTCAACGGTGTCTGATACATCTGCGTGTCAGATCATCATGGAGCACCCTCAGTACAATTACGGATTCAAAGCGAGCGAATTCAATAATTCATTCGTGTTTCTTTCTTAATCGATGAGTCATTTTCCATTTAAAATAATGTTGAAAAATAACATCCATAACGAACTGTACGTAGCTTTCACTCGTTCTACTCGTTATGGCCTCAATTGAGTCGCCTTGTATGACATATCGTGAATGCAATGATGATCTTATTGTGCAACTCCATTTTCACCATCGCGGGAAAGTAGGTACAATATCTCATGTCCAACACAAGACATCGTTTTCTTGCAATATTATTTATGATGTCGTTCTGTTCAAAGGAAATATTTGATTATTTCTAATGGAAGTGAGATGGAGCGTGATGAAGAGGCGAACGAGTTTTTTCTCTTAGTCTACTACGACATTCATCGTCCGAGGACAGCGAAAAAAAAGTACAGAGGTACATATTTTTATTTATTTATAAATGTGTCCCAAAGTACGAAAGGTACTGAAGTAAAATAGGTACAAACGTGTTCCCTTCCTGCCTCTCCACCAACACGCCGTTTTCCGACGTTTCGGGGCCTTTTGCTGCACGCGAACCTTAATTGTTAAACGAGGGACCTTAAAGGTGAGCTCTTGCAAGATATATTGGGTGCCTATATTAATTGAGATCACCAGTTGCTTTCTGGATGACATAAAACGCATTCTAAAGCTTTTCCTGGAGACTCATTAATAGAGTCGTGCAAAAATTCCTGTGCTTACACTTCTGTCCCCAAAACCCGAGCATTTAAAAGTTTTCGAAACGTTAATTGCCATTTAATACATCACTATTATACTTCTACCTTACATCGGACTACCAGTCTGAAGATGGGAGTCGGACAGGGGAAGGACGAAAAGCTTCTCCTAAGGTCTGATGTTGCCTGACTTGGGTTCGGACGTTCCAGGGAACACGAGCGCCATCTACTGTGTACTTTTTGTGTCGTGTTGGGAACGTAAAAATGCCTGGACCATGTGCATACACATGTATCTCCTTGTACGTTTTGCAGTAGGAAGATGCCGGTACTGTTTTCTTCGAAAGGGGATCTTTCTGACCCCTGGAGGCCGGGCACGTAGTGGGACTTTTCAATGTCTTTTAAGTACAGAAACAAGGTCACGTGGCTTATCCTTGAAAGTAGGATCCTCCCACGGACCTCCGGGTAGGAATTTCCTGGTTTATTCCAGAGCTAGGTTACATCTTCAGAAATATGTTTCAAGAAATTCGATTGTCTTCCTCTGAGATCCATACGATCAACCATAGGGAATCCGAGAAGTGACTCCCTACTGCGACCACTTTGGCTTCATCTCACGCCGGTTTTCGGAACCTTCTCAGCCGCATTGGCTGAATGCAAATCATTGGCCGGCCAATCATTCGCGGAAAATGAGCCAACTTTGGCCAGCTATGGCCCGACGGGAAACTAGGGAAAATTTTTTACTTCTTGTTCATTCGGAGAGTATTGCCTCGGCCCAACGAATTTGGATGCAATTTTGAGAATCAAATACTGATTTATGCATAACGAATGTTTCGCGAAAAAAAATCCAGTGGAACCGAGATATTTAGATTAAAGGTCCTCGGTCTCTTTTTTTTTTTGCCGTTACGTTACGGCTGGATCCGATAATCAGCTCACTTTTTCCACGTCCAACTTGAGGTAAGGCTGCGAAATTCCTGGATAGACCCGCTTAACGGAGGTAACCCGGCAGAAGTACCAGCAGAAGTACTCCAAGTACTCCTGGCCAGGGGGTCCGAGGAAACAAGCTGTAATTTCCCAAAGTCTCTCCATGGAATTTCCTGGAACTCACGCTCTTATGCCTCTTTCGAGATCAGTAGAGCGTGAAAATTGGTCTGGCTCTTCTTAATCTGGGGCGGAATGGGTTGCGTCACTCAAGTACTCAACTCGAATTCTGATCTGAGAGAGGAAATATAACCATAGGGGACTATTCTGTTAGTACTCTGTTAAGTACTGCCATTCCACATAGAGGTCCTTATTGTGGTCCTCCGGAGGGATGACAGTACTTAACAGTATTATCATCAATCTGATAAACATAAAATCTCGTCATCTAATCGATATTAGTGCTCGTTCAGGCTCAAGAAATGGAGTAATGTAATGCACAAAGGATTGACAATTCAATGTTACAATGCAGCAATTCTTCAACGTTGAACTATGTTTCATTTCAACAATGTTTCAACAGTTTTCGGTTAAAAGTCCTCGGTCTCTTTTTCCGGCCAACATCTCCAGACAAACGCCTCTACATTCGCGTTGTCATCCGACCCGATTGAAGAATGAGCGGAACTCGTGAGCCGATTTGCATGGGACCCGACGTCGGAGTCTTTGCGATCCGAATTCCATCGCATCATTTACATCAAGTTACGGTTTCGCGTCTATTTCCCCTCGTGCGATTCTCATTAGGAACTCGCACTGGTCGGTAAAGTGCAAGTTTCGGGAAAATGCACGCTGCAATGAACATGGTGATTGGATGTTGTGATTTTGGAGATGTCTCTGAGGAGATTGACCGCAAAATAGATACGGCTTTGGCAGGTCTTGTATGCAGAATGCACATGTTGACGCGAGAAAGTGCGAGTAGAAAGGGACAAAAAGGTCTCCAAGGAAGCATGTCTGAGATTCGAAGGCAATTCTTTCAAAACCTTTTTTCTTTTTTTTTTCCTACTAATTATTTAATTTTCTGAATGTTTTAGAGGGACTGAGAGAAAAAGAAGAAAAGGGCACCTGACAGGACGTGTTCGAAAAACCGGAGGAGTTGACCACAATGAAACAAGAGAGGTCAAACAACCACCCCTAACCGAAGCAACGGAGAGGGTGGAAGGGGGAGGGGAGGGGGTGTGAAAAGGAAACGGGGAAAAGGAAATGCTGCGACGACGGTTGGCCGCGGGGCAAAGCCTGGATTCTAGAAAAATTGGAAGGCAAGGGGAGCGTTGGGTACGAGACCGACCTTTAAACTTTAAAGAGCTGAGCGATAAAATCTGGATATCAGATATGGAATCATACATATTCGAATCCATAGAGCCTCCACTCCACGCTCTTGCCTCCCCAGCAACTTTCAGGAAGGTCTTCAGATCTCGACGAAGCAACGAAAAATCGACCGGCGACCTTGAGCACTGCTCGCGTCGGTTGCACGTCGATTCGCGTGTCGGCGCCATTAGAGGCATTTATCAATTGCTGGGCGTGGTTTAAACTCCCGTCTCGCCTCAGGTCGACATGCACTCGGTAACCATGCCAGTTTTCCTGATTCCCAAGAGTGTTTATTCCACGATTACATGTCACACGTGAAGGCAGGCGGGGCCGTGAAAGCGCTGAAGGCGTGGTCGGCAATAAAATAAGAGAAGACGTTGCGTGTCATCGACTGCTACGAGTTCGCGAGGCTCGTCGCAATATCGGCATATTTGAACAAGGATTTTATCGATCTGACAATTACGATGTTCGTCTCCAGAGACCGGCTTGCCCCGAACTTTCACGGCTGAATAGACATTCACGATATTAATTTTTAATATTCAATAGAATCGCCATCGCGTGAGGTAAATGCAAAATACTGTACGAGCATGATACAATCTTCTTCTTGCAATAATTCGCATATCGATCGTTGCTTTGCGTTGCTGGGTGCCAGAGAGACGACCCATAAAGGGTCAAAATGTGCACAAATCATTTGCAAAATTTGAACTTCGTGCTAGAACTGATGGTAAGTCATCAACAATAACAGTCTTAATAACAATAATAATCTTAGTAATCTTTAAGAATTACCTGGGGCAAAACGGAGCATGAGGAAAAACACAAGTTTCATCCTTTAAATAAACTGTGTCTGAGTTCTGGTATTTATTTAAACGTCAAAATTTCACTTGATGAGAGTTGAAGTGTGCTTAAGCAAATAAAGAAAAAAAAAACATCAGAAGCTCTCAGTCCTAGGGATAGGGAAATTCGCAGAGGACCGCGGAGGGACGCAGACACCACATTAACCAGAATTCCGAGACGTAATCCCCGTTGTGGTGGTAGTACTGGACGTGGTTGGGGTCGTTGTTGGCGTTCGCCAAGCCGTTGCGGCCCCAAGTGGCCAACTCGGCCACGTCTGCCGTGCTCCCTGCGTGAAAGAAACGACACTATGGTAATGGCGTCGGGGACGCTGGACGTGATAGAGTTCAAGCATGAAAATGCATACCAATTTGTGTCACCCATAACGAAATAAATGCAATACAGTGCAACAGCACCCTCATAGGGAACGCCAAAGCGATTCTGACGCCTTCCCGCAACGATGCAAACCCGGAATCGCAATTCGCGCGGAATGAAGAAGACAGGGAGAGCAAAGATTTCGTTCGCAATGGCGCAACTCCGAGAGATGCGAAGAGGCTTCATTAATACACGAGTGAAGCTCCCAAGGCAAACCATAATCGAGATGTAATTTATCCGAAAAGATAAGAAAATCTGGAATCTCAACTGGAGTCAGGGTACATGACTCATGAGAACGATTTGTCTACTTTCATGAATATGACGTTATAAAACTATAATACATAAACTACGACAGCTATAACATAAATATCCAACCTCGCACTTGCCAACACCCATAAGGAAGAGAACAGAGAACAGAGTTGTAGAAACCAATTTGCATTAAAGGCCACCTCCGATATCGAAGGAGCTCCGTCCCGTTCTGGAAAAAGAAACTTCACACCGCCTCACCATCAGGGAATCGATAGGTGTCCGGGATCCCGGCGTATTTCATCCCGATGAAGACGTGGCACTCCCCAGTGGAAGCCGGGCACGAGCCGTACAGAGCCGGGTACTTGATCTTCTTCATGAGCGACTCGAAGAGATACAGTCGCGATGCGGGATTCGGGGAGAAGACGCGACCGCCGCCGGCGCTGCAACGCGCTTCGTAGTTGGTGCAGTCCGCGTTGCTCCAGTCCGTGTCCGAAAAAAAGAAGCTGCTCCCGTCTGGATCTTTCAAAGAAACGCATTCAGACCCGCTAGAGACAAATTTGATGATATTTCGTTCATTAGCGACGCGTTGTTACAGAACCAATGGCGTACGTTCAATTGGCGTGTTTAAAAAATTTACTCGCAACTCCAACATACGATGGGAAATGTTTGTTGCGCATTATGCGAGTACGAAGCACATGCTGCTTGTCGCTGCTGAAAATTCAAGTACTTTCTATTTGTCACAAAAGCGATTTATCCGTCGGCAAGGCGGAAGATGGGATCTGACAGCGGGCAAGACCGTAACTTTTCATTTAAGAAATATCAAATTCTTCCTGCATAATCGTATCATCTCGGCCAGAAGCGACGAAAAAGAGTCCACTGTCACCCCCGGCGGCCAGCCCTCCCCATCCGATGAATTCTGAGCGGAGGAAACTGCCTCGCAGACTTCTCGCCTCCCCGCTTCCAGGGAAGGGAAGGGAAGGGCGGGGAGGGACTCACAGATCGCGAAGAAGTCGGAGTCGGGAGCGGCTTCCTTCAAGGACCTCATGTCTCCCATTCGGCATTCGAATTCTCCAGCGTTTCCGGTCGGCTCCACTGAAAACTCCACACATGTGTCGACCCTGAATGAAAGTCAAGTGTTGAGTCAAATGAAACGTCGACATAGTCGAAAAGTAAGCCAATAAATGGTCGCTGCCTTCTGATCGAGAGCGAGTGCTTCGACCTATGCAAAGTCATTTCACCAATTGATTTGAGCTTTTTAAATTATTTTTATTTTAGTCAATTCGCATTTGAAGATATGATGGATCCAAAATCCATAGAATTGAATGGGGCATGTTCTAACGCCATGGCCTCAATTGTGCGTCCATGAAAGGAAGCCAGATCATCGGCGTCTGAATCGCCTCGGATGACCGTCGTGCATGCAATTAGGGTTTGGCGCGTCGACGGAAAGCAGGCCTTTCTCGGACCTTGTCATACTGCATTGTGCATCACCATTTCTACCAACGCGAGATAGTAGGAACAAATACGAAATGTCCAACTGAAGATATCGTTTTGATATTATCATTTATTACGTCGTACTGGAACCCATGGGATGGAACGTATTTAATTCTTCGGTATTGTTATGTCCATAACAGTATGATGAAGAACATTTCAAGGTTGTGAATGATTTCCTTCACTCAGTCTGCTACGACTTCCGCTGTTCAACAATATGGGGGAAACAAAAATCCTGACGCTGAATTATGACGTCTGACAAACGGAAACAGGTTGGAGGATGATACCGGTTAGTCATCGATATTTTGACCAGCTTCAGAGCTCATTAAAAAAGAAGGGATAAACTTAAAATGTAGCTAGCAATAATTTCACCCGTGTTCACCGACAGCCCACGGCTGAATTGATGCATTCTCGATGTTCCCATTAACAATTCAAAGCTTCCAGCACTTGCGTATACGCAAGGAAAAAAGAACGCACTTGACGCATTTCATGGCACACCACATCCGCGGAAGGACGTGAGGCGTCCCCGTCACGGACTGCAGGGGGATTTTGATCCTCTGCTTCACTCGATGCTTCTGGAATCTCCCTTCGTCGATCCCACCGACGACCCCGAGGAGGAGGGCGATCGACCGGGAGAAAAACTTCATGGCCGACTGGGTTGCCTTCGACCACTTCGGACGCGTCTCGGCGCTCTTTGCGGGTGGGGATCCCGTGCGTGACTGCAGTTCTTAAGGAAGAGTGTCATCGATGGGGACCTTTGCGTTATTTTGTCGCGCATTTTCCCATGGTACTTTTATGATCGATCTATATATCTACTCGCGAGAGAGTTTTCGTGTCCTTTTCTGGCGGTCGTGCTCTGGTGACAAAGTCGTGCATGATGCAAGTGAACGTTTCTTTTTATGGCAATTTTTTTATATTTATTTTACATATATATTTACATTTCAAGCCCCTTTTTCTTAGAATTTCCAAGCTTTACACACAAGTATTGAAGAGGATACCAAAATGGCTCGAGCTCGAGACGGAAAAACCTCTTGCAGTCCCTCGCATCAAATCAACTATGCAATGCATAAAGTATATTCCCAATTAGCACACTCACGTTGAAACCACGTTGCTCGTCAACATTGATTCTATATTGAAAGTTCATTTTCATCAACGATTAATTCAACGTTGACATCAACGGTACATCAACATTGATTCAATGTCCAACAGCAACATTGCAACGTCGATTCAACATTTGCTTATCAACGTTGACTCCATATTGAAAATCCATTTTCTTCAACATTGAAGAAATGCTGAATCCACAATGGCTCAACGTTGATATGACAGGTCTCAACAGTCTGTTTAATTCGCACGCATGCGCCGTCTCATGACTCAAGCATTATTGAATATCACCTGGACACGATCTTCGTCCTCCGAATCCTCCTAAGAGGATTCATCCAAGGACAATGCGATCTTAATGGCATCCTCCTCCCCCGGAAGCAGGAGGAGGCCCGCGTGTTTACTGTGATGTACTGTGATTCATCCTCGAAGACAGGGCGTTGTGGTCTCAGAGTAATATTGTTCGTGTGGAGGGGCTTCAAAATGGGACTTTTAACGTTAACTTTAGGCCGAAACAAGAGAAAGATAATTTAGCACGAGTGGTTAATCGGAGGCAAAGGAAAAGGTCCGGCCTTATACCACAGACAGGACAAACCGTCTAGGAGACGACTGATGACGAATAATAAAGCGGTGTTCAAACAAGGACAACAGGTATTTACTTAAAGTTAAATTAAGAAAGAAAAGAAATATCACAGATGGTAATGAAGGGACAGCAGGCACAGCTTTGGATGAGAGAGAAGTGAAGCAGGCACGGCGTTGGACGAGAGAGGACCCCTAGAGACGGACCCGCCAGGCGGACGACCCACGACAGACTGACGGAAAAATGGCCGGAAGGGAGGATCACACCAAAGACCTTATACTAAGAAGACTGGACACTCTGCTCGAAAGCAGGGTAACCGCAATGGCGGTCTATGCCCTGGTGGTTGGCCCTCGAACTAACGTCAGCGCTTCCTGGAGCAGAGCGCTAGTGTCTCTTAAACGAATTCGCGCCCGAAGTTTGACGCCATTTCTACAGTGCGACAGATAGACATGGCTGGCAGAAGACCATGAAGAGGAGTTGGGAAAACAATGTTCGAAGAATCTCCCCGGGG